GGGGGAGTGAGCGAGCGGCTGTGTGGTGCTTAGTTGCCAGCTGGGGTTAAACCACGACAGGATATCACCTATATTTGCCTCTGCCTGCTATTTCCTCTGCATTGTCATTTCTCTCTTTAAAAAAAGCTTAACAAAAGTGAAAGTATACAGGGGTTTGAATAATCTTGTGATGTGAGGATAGGGGAGGAGAGTAGACCAATGGTTTTCAATCCATTTTTGGACTCTTAGAGCTCTACAACGTTTTCCTTTAGCATCCAGCAACAAATTTAAATCTACTGACAATACGGTGGTTGGGGATTTTGTTATTAAACAACTGACATGGGCCTCTGAAAAAAACTCTGTGGGGTCCCAGAGGCTCCTGTATCAAAGGTTAAAGACCGCTGAACTAGACCTTGAGTTATGTAAGGGACTTCTCTGTAATTCTGTGATGCACCCATCTTACATTAAGTAATTTTACAGTTTACCTGTTCAGCAATGTCATAAAGCACTAAATCACAAGGAACTTTGTATTTCCACACTGATGCCTAAATTCAAAATTTTCTATTATAAATAAGCTAACAATGATTTATTTGTAACAAACAACAAAAATCTTTCCTAAAAACCCACATGCATGAAATTTACATTTCAAAGAAATTTCAAGCACTTGCTAATAAAACCTGTTTAGAATAATGCTTTTAAGAAACTTATTTGTGCAAAGAAAAACCCACTTATAAAATAATTCTCAACTAAATGCAGAATCTTGATTATCCCAACTCCAGCTCCTAATAACCTCAAGCCATAAAAAAGCCTCAACATAAAGAATGAGGTTCATTTCTATGTTCCAGAACAAGAAAAAAATAAATATTGCTAGCACCTGCATATGGCTGAGCCTACGCCTTTAAACAAGATATGGGACAACCTCTGCCGGGGGCTGTACTTGTGTTGTAGACTCCATGTTCAACACAGTTACTATACAATTTGAATCACTGGGTTTGGGTTACAGGCACAGTTGGGGGCAGTTTTTAGTTTTTTAAAGAATAACTCTTGGAAAACATTCAGGATTTATCAAAGCAAATTCAAGATCTTCTCGGTAAGATCACTGGCCAAAAACTTTAGACACTTATTAAAAATACGTCTGAAAAGAGTCAGCTAGAAAACACCACTTTGTATTATTTTAATTTATTATTTTAAAGGCAGGCAGCATAAGCATTCAGTGGGCAGAGAGCAAAACCCTTATCTACCTCCCGACAAGCTGATGCCTTCACCACCAGACTACAGCTGCGTTTCCTCTCTACCTTTTTTTGTATTCCCTTCTCTCAGATTCAATAGGAGAAATGTAAGATAGCTCCCATCTCAGCCTTCCTAGAAGGCTAGTTCAAGAGAAACCAAGGTCTAGCGTGAAATGATAGCAGCAGATGCATAACTGCTCAGCCTGTCTCACATAACTTGCAAGCCTAAATGCCAAGCCAGACAACACTAATAACAAAGTTACAGCTTCTTAGACCTCCAAGTAAATCTGTACTCTGTCACAGCACCTTACAGGGAGGGAATGGTTCCTTTCAAACTAACCCTAGAATTCACACCTCCTTCCTGAAAAGGCATTGTAACTACCAGAAAAGCACCTCCCAAACTCTCCATGAAACCATAATAAAGCAGCCTACAGAAGCATATTAAACAAAGTTTTCAGCAGAACTAAATTTTAAACAACAGTGATTTGTGGTGGTTCTCAAGATCTATTGGCTTATGCTATCATTCAAAATCATACACAAAGGAGTAGTGTGTACAAAAGTGATGATTTAGACACCTTAAGCTAAAGTAATTTCAGGCTCTGAACTCCAGTATCAAATGAATACCTGAATCGGGGATGCCGTCAGATGCCCAAATCCAAAACAAATAAAGCAATTTCTCATGTCTCACCTTAAGTACTCTTTTATCAGCTACCTTGGGAGTTTCCCCTCTCTGCACAATGCCTAAAGTAAACTCTACTTTTAGCATTTCACTTCCCCCCATGTATAATTCACAGAGGTTACACACCAGAGTCCCTTTGCACATGTGGATCCCAAACTTTATTACTATCTGAAAACCATCATGAACCCTTGTGGAATTAAAAATAAAAGCAGCAGCTTGGCCTATTCCAAACACTTGGCCCTACAGCCATTTGATGTACTGATCTTGAAGGAAGTCAGATAAAGGAAAAGTTAATTTTTTTCTTATTTAGCATATTCATGACTACAGGTAAGATCACACAAATTTATCTTCAAGTTTTTAATTTACAGAAAAGATCCAGTAAGCAAGTGATAAACAACAGGAAAAAGTGTTTATAACTATCTCACTGCTGAAAAACAGCACTATCAAGTGGCAGCGATGAAAGTCTTTTAACAAGATTATTATTGCCAACAATATGACAAATTAAGTCTCCCGAACTACAAAATGGTAGCAAGACAAAAAATAATCTAGCTAGTATGTCAGCTCCAGATATATTGGAAACGCTTAAATACACACGAACCTAGTAAAATTCAGTCCTGAAAAGGTATCTTAACTGTGAGGGGTTGGGTATTCTTTTTGGATAAGGAACTCACTTACCCAGATTTCAAGTCTGTAATCCGTAAACAATTAGTAGCATCCAGTCCTACTTTTCCATTTCTGACCACACTGGAAATGAAGGGTGAGAGCGCTGGAGAAATTCTGTTCAAGGCAACTTCAGGTGACATTTTAGTATGTTCCTCTTTCCTTTTGTCTTGAGCTGCACAGGGATGGCAAGGGGGGGGGGATCAAAAAACATCCTACTTATTTGACGTAAATTCACATGCACGCTGCGAACATCAAAGGAAAAAAGCTAAGCACGCAAACAATCAGGAATGTAGAGTAACTGAAGTGTGCACAGGTTTATAAAGAAAAAAACAAACACCGGTAATTTTTTTTCTCCTACCTCTGCAACATTCAGTAAAGCCCGTTTATTCAATGTCAACATAAAAACATGTCCTAGGCTCCTTTCCCTACAAGAAAGAGAAACAAAATTGAGGGCCATTCTGACACTTCACAGCCTAGCCCTTCTTGTGAGCATTTCCATTAGGAGTCTATAATTGACAAGCCACATTTGTTCTGCTTCCACTGAAATCAATGAGACTTACATTACTGATTGCAATGGGACCAAGGGTTTGATCTCTCTCCGTATTCTCATTTGTAATTTCTAATACCACTAGTGTAACCATAACCAGTGTTACTTTTACACTACTTCATTAGGTAGCTATTTACAGCATTTCATGATGCCTTTTAAAGGCTAACACTGCTTTTCTTTCAGCAGTATCACCACACTCTATGAAAGGCATCTCCATTCACAAAACAGATCAGGAAGCTGATGTACGCACACTTTAAGCACAGCTTTTTCAGAAGTGCTAGCAATTGCGTGACCTTATGCTAAATCAGTTAGGCCACTAATTTAGCGCACATTAAGAACCTGCTGCTTTTTAGCGGAAATGCAGAAACTGAGCATGCACACATTTTAACTCATTGCACCAGAAAAAGGCTAGAGAATGTGGACAACAACAGACTGGTAGGAGAAGTGGGAGAAAAGAAGGGTGAGTAACCTATTAAAATGCTAACTTAACATATTTGATCATATTCTTAGGCAGAGAGTTCCATCTGAAAATTAACTGAACTCCACAGTTTTAGAAAACAAAGCCATTAATGACTCAAGGTACATAAACATGCCACTGACAAGCAGGGCAGAAGAGCTCATACTTAAACTCTGACCATTGGAAGATTTTTAAAAACATACATTTAATTGAAAAACACCAACACATACTGTATTTACCTCCTTACAAAATGCTGCATGTGGACTGCTGTATCAATAAGCGTTCTATACAGAGTGTACAACTCAAGACAATAGTTGCAATTTTGCGTTGTTTCTAACAATTTACAAGCATTAGTTGATAACTAATGGATATTCTACAAACTGATAATCCCCTGTAACTGGTAGCAACATTAAAGTTACACATTTTGTTCTCATGAAAGTCATTCACACTGAAATAGCATGAAGCAATGTTCAAGAAAGTATTTATCCTAGCTATTCGGAACGTATCTGAATAAAGCAAAGGCCAGGCACTTTAAGGTAAACAAAAAGACTAATAAAGTAAGACTTCCTAAAAACAGTAATTATCTTTAACACACTGGTTCTTACATTTTACGGCAGCAAAGCAGCTGAAGACTAAATATCCATGTCCTAACATACAACATGTTCTCTTTACATATAGGATTTGTGGTAACTGAAAATGGGCAACAATTTAAGTTTGCTTAGCAAACACCTACAGCAATTTAAGATGCTACCTCCTGTTTGTTACTTTTCTACCAAAAATTACTGCCTACTCACCTTTATTCTTCCCCAGAGGAACTGAGAGAAGAGAACACAAGCCCATACTTGACCTATTTCAACACAAAGTCCAATGGCTTAGATTGAACAGCTAATAAAAATGAATTTAAACTAAAACGATACTTTGCACAAGAGTGGCTAAAACAGGGCACACATTTCAGTCTGCCACCTCTGCCGTAGGGAGAGTAATTTCAAGCAGAGGGGCAGCTGGACTGATGAAGGTAAGAACTTCTTAAACTATGAAAAACATGCTGAACAACAAGCTATCCTTCTAGGAATCTTAAAGGTATACCCAAAGATCTCAGAATTGGTTCTGATAGCGCCACATTTTAAGGGGACTGTGTTATGAGGGTAGAATTGTGAGACATGAGATACCATGTGGTGATCAAAGTTGAACAGACGCACCTTCCAAAATGAACTGCAGGATGAGATTCCTTATCTTTTTGTTAATAAAATATGCAGATATTGTCAAAACAAGATATAAATGACTGTTAGGCATTTTTCCTGGTTTTATTGCATCATTTCTTTAAGATCCACAGCACCTTCTACATAACAAGCCAGATACACAATACTTAAAGGGTCACTATCAATTAAACTCACTGATTTATTTTGTAAACAAAGGTCTTTACGAACTGTAACACAGTTAGTACCATCTTCCTAAGTTTCAGTTGTCATATACATATTTTTTCCCCAGCTTAATTTTCCCACAGTACTGGAAACAGAACACAAACAAACTCAAGGGAATTAACAAAACCAAAATTCACTAGACTGTTTCCCTCCCAAAACGTTTAAAAGAAGTAAATAAACGAAAAGTTGAATCCTTTTAGATTCAGCAGCCTATCATTATGACTTCAGGCAAATGTAACATATGCTTCACAGTAACCATAAAATCCCAGGCACTGCTTCGGGCACCAGCGTGTCCGGATGCGAGATACTCTGTTCCTCCACCACCGGTAATAACATTAAGGGCCTTAAGTGAAGCTGCAAGAAGGCAAAGGTGAGTATTGTGATGGAGGCCTTGAAGTGCGAGGGAACCTTTCCCGTCTAACCCTCTCGGCTTGGCTGTCGGCAATCTGGTTTTGTGGTTTTCACTTTGAGGGTAGCAGTAACAGGTGTCTGGGTGGGGGGAAAAGAGGGGACCCACGACTAGCCCCTGCCACCGTGCCGGAAGGCACCCCCGCCTGCCAGCCCGGAATGCGATCGGCACCGTGGTTCTCCGGAGCCCCGGGTAACCCCCACGTTCCCTCAGCCCTGGCACGGGAGAACGCACACCGGACTGACCCCTGCCAAGCCCCGCTCCCTCCCCAGCCGGGC